TTTAAATAGTTATATATAATAAATGTTCCTTTTGTTTTAGCTTTTTCATATGCAAGCTTAGTAAAAGTACGAAATTTGACAACATTTTTATTACAATTATTTATTTTACAAGGTCCACAATTTGGTAAACGCAGCATTTTTTTAAAAATTTCACGTTACATTTAAAAAAAAGTCACGTGCTTTTATAATTTTAGTGATGATCAGCAACAAATTTCACCAATCACAGTAAATTTTTACAAAAATTAAGGCGATGTTTAGCAGCCAATCATACAAAACTCCCTCATGCTGCGTAGACATATATAGTCCTTCACTTCGTTCCGGACTAATAAGATACTGTAAATCAAAAAAAAATTAGTCAAATAAAAATAAAATAGTAAAAAAAATAAAAATAAAAATATTAATTAAACTAAAAAAAAAAAATCGACGGCTTACCTCCACTGCGGTGACGAACCGAACCAGTTCCGTTCGAAGGTTCGGTCTGGTTCTTATCCTAAGATTGGGAACCGATCGAACCTAAAAAGAAAAAAAAAAATTATGAAAAAAAAAAGAGCATGAATTTTTATCTATCTTTTGTGACTATCATGAGAAAGGTCAAATTGGCTTAACAAGAGAAAAAAATTATGAATTTATTGCTTGTATCCGCAAGTAGTGGAATTGACACAGTAAGTTTATTTGATTTGATTGATGATAAAGCTAAATCAGGAAAGAGAGATGCTTTGTTAATGTTTGGGAATTTTCCCAAAAAAAATTAGAATGTTTAAACCGATATTATATCTTTTATCATATTATTTATCATACCACTCTTGAATCATATAAAGATAACAATTTATAAAATGATGTGTCTTTAGAATGTTCCGATTCTAAATAAAATTTTACTATTCCAATTAGCCGGAGGATTACACAATAGTAGATAGTTGATATTATATTTCAAGTTTATTAAGTTTATTTTATTACTTAATAAATTTCTTTTTCATTTTAAAATTAAATTAAAACATTTTAAAAACCAATATTATAAATTAAAGGAAATTTTGTAAATGTAAACTTTCTTAATTACATAAATTTCCAATCAATCTATTTCAAAAATTTTAAGGCCGGCCATGACCATGAATAAATAATAATATATACATAACTATATGGTACGTGTTCTTCGATTGTTTTGAGATTCAGATATAGCAGCAAGTCGCATTTCAACTTGTTCATTAATTTCACGAATTCTGTCTTCTTTTCTTTGTTCTTCTAAATGCCTCAAGTAAAATAATCCAAACCATAGGAAAAAACCGATAATTAAAAATATAAATGAAATTTCAATGAATAAAAGATTTAATTTTGGACAATTTGAATCTATGCCCCAAAATGATAAAATTAATGTTATAAATCCGAAAAGTATAAATAGATAAATTATCGGCAATGGAACTTTAAACGGATAAGTTGAATCCGTTGTTGATGTATTTCGTAGAATCTAAGAAAAAATTTAAAGAAAGTTCTTTAAATTTAATTATAAATATATTAAAAAGATTTATAATAACTAACATACCACTAAACCTAAACTTGTAATAACGTAGAATATCCAGCTACAAAACATTGCAACAGAACTGTATAATATGAAATTATCGATTAGTGCCGTACTACCAACGACCAGCATAATAAGCGTACACCATCCAAGTTGTGCTAATAACGCAGTGATCGGGGTATTAAATTTATGATTCCAACTTTTTAATTGTGATGAAAATATTGGAAAAAAATTTGATTTTGCCGCAGTCACAATCACCCTTGATCCGCTAAATTTTTTTTTTTGTTTTAAAAATAATATACTATATAGATAAATAGATAAATTTTAATAAAATATATAAATATATATATTACAAAATGGTTTACCTCCAAATGCTTGACGCAGCTGTTCCAATAGCGGATAGAACAACACAAAATGAAAAGATCTTCTTTCCTGTAGTATTACCTTCAAAAATGCTATTAAAGAAATCTATTGCTATTGTTTCATTAAAAATGTCTTTATTTATTTTATCCAAAGGCACAGCAGTAATAAATGCAATATTAACCATTAAATCTATTGTAAAATGAATTGATTGATTGATAAATCGTTAATTTTACTTTTACCATTTGAAGAGAAAACGATAGTTTGAAATTAGAAGACTTACATAAGAACGTCACGATTCCAACACTGTAAATGTTACTCTTTTTTAATCTTTCTTCAGGATTTCTAAACTCGTCCAAGGAATAATTTAAATTATTCCAGCCATTGTAACTAAATAAGACTGAAATTATGGCAATAGAATAGGAAGTGAATTTAAACATTTCTCCTTCTGGAGGGGTCGTCCAATTATTGGTATTTTTATATTTTGAAAATCCGCCAAATGCAATCGCAATCAACACAATCGTTTTAATTATTGCTAATGTATGATTTATTCTATTCGCCCACTTGTTACTTAATAAATGATATCCTGTTATTAAGAATAATAATCCAATTGCCGTCAATTTTATTATCCTATAAATAACAAAATTTGCAAGACGTGTTAAATAATCATGTTTGTAATTTATAAATTATAAGATTGCACCAAATTTTGAATTACCAATTAGGGTTAAATCTATTAATTTCTGTCAAGTTACAATTTGAACTCTCGGCAAAAGGAACGTCAATAAACAAGTACCATGTATATTGTGCAGCCGATTGCAAAACCGCACATATAATTCCCGGTCGAATTACGCTATTTAATTTGCAATTACGCAGTTTAATAAAAGATATGATTATAAAAGAAACATTTTTAAAGGACAATTATAATTACATTACTTACAAGATGAACATAAAACTGAAAAGATAACTCAGCATTTGGTATGGCTTTGGGTATGCTGTGGCAAGATAAATGGTTTCGCCTCCACTATCCTTATGAATAGCTCCGTACTTTAAACATGAAATAATTAAACTTTGGATTTGGAAAATTAAATCACCTATCTATCAAATATGGAAAAAACCATTTACCTCTGTGTAAATAAGTGAACCGAATAAACTTACAATCCCGCCCATTAACCATAATCCTAAAACAATATATGGCGATTTCACATTCTTCCAAACAATTCCAGGTGTAGTAAATATACCTATCAATTTCAAGGAACTTTAAGCCACTTTCAAAAAAAAAAAAAAAGTAATGAATTTTTTACGGACCTGCTCCTATTATATTATTTACATTCATCCCTATACCATAAATTACACCCAACAATCTGTTATTTTCATTATTTCTTGAAATTGTTGAATTTGTAGGTGTAACTTCTAGCTGAAGCCCTCCTCTTCCATTGTAATGCATCCTAAAGTTGATTTGTTTTTTTTTATGAAAAGACGAAATTTTGAGAATTTGGAGAATTTCAAAGAGGTTTTTTAATAATAATCAATAACCTTTATATGTATTTTTGGAAAAAGATCATTCATCTAAAAATAAACGAAAATTTTTAACCTAACTAATCTTCTTCCAATGTCAATATTTTGATGATCTTTTTTTTTCCTATTGTATAAGAAATTTATCGGATAACTATTCCGTACCCGTTCCAACTAAGAAAGAAATTGGTGCAACTGGATTTATCATGATACCTATTCCTTGAAAAAATTCGGGATGAATCTTCCGATTACTGTATGTGCAGTGGTTTATTTTAGGTTTATTTTCATTTTTTTTTTCTTTTTTAGGAATGGGTTCGAATGAGATAAAATTGACCAATAACCTTTTTATGAGGATAATTATACAAAAAAAAAAGAGATTAAGTTATTGATTAAAGATTTCGAAGTCATCAAATTGCGTCATCAAAAGAGGATAGATATCTCTAATTGATTTATGTATTACGTTAAAGACACCCTATGAAAAAATTTTTCCTAAGTAAATGACAAATACTTCATGATCTATATTACAATATTTAATTTTGATTGCTCCTTCCTTCCTTTTAACAGAAGTATGGAATTAAAAAAAAATTAACAGATAGGTTTCCTTGTCTTCATTTGCTTACGTATCACAATATAATGAAACTCGAATTTTTTTATAGTAGTTGTTTAATACAGTCCCCATTATAATTTAATTTACAGTAAATGAATTAACATATCACTCTTCTCTCTCGTTTCTTAGTAACCAAAACATCTATGCAATGAAAAGAATACCGTAACTCATGCAAAAGAACTATACCACAATCTTACGAATGTAAATTGTTAAAATATTATTCCTATCAATAATCAAGTTATGACTTTGAAGGGACAGTTTCTCAATTTCCAAAGGTTACATTTAAAAAAAAAAAAAATGAAAAAATATATTTTATTATATATATATACCACCAGTAGCCAAATTGCAAACTTTGAAAATAATTCAAGACCCCTTCGTAATTGTAAAAATACTACCAATAATTAGTGAACACCAAATACATTGCGCGTATTATAATATTCATTTCAGTTCTTTAATCAATCCGAAGGTAGTTTGTTCAACAATAATTATTATTGTTTTTTATTAATAAAACTTTATTTTAATTTTGACGTTTAAACATATGCAAAATGTAATAATTTATCTCCATACTGCAGTTGGAGAGCACAATAAGTAAACTGAATTTTCTAACAGCGTTATCTTGACTAAAGTACGCTATAGTTTCATTTGTCCAAACAATCTGCCAAATTGGGATAGCATTATCAAGACTACAACAATATCTTAATTCCATGGAGATTACGGAGATTATTAGGTGATTTTCTATTAGACGTAAAAAATTACTTTTCAAAAAAAGATACAAATTGTAATCTTTAAGGGTAAAACAAATTTAATTAGCAGATTTTTATTATTATAATATATTACTTTGGAAGTATTATTTGAGTGTAGAAGGATTGCCACCTAGAAACAAAGAATATTAAATCTTTCACAATTAAAAAATTATGAAAACCATAAACTCTGAAACTTTACAACATTTAATTAAAGTTTCCTTAAATCGATAATTATCACGTGATATTAAAATCTAAAAAGTTTCTGCACGAAGAATCTGAAATTTTTTTTTTTTTTTGTGCCCGGACTTATAATAATCTAAGTGTTAATTTTATGTTCTCGAACTTTGATATTATTTACTTCTAGAAGGCCCAGCATAAAATTTTATATTCTCAGGTTCTGTATGATCCTCTTTCTCTGCTCCCTTCATCTGTGTTTCATCTTCTTCATCTTCATTATCTTTAAGTTCATTACCCTTTTTAGTTTCCCAATTATAATATAAGATATACCAAAGCGTCAAGGCAATGAAAAGAAATCCGTAACTAATGTAAAAAGGACTATGTTTTTGATATATATCACAACCATCACATTCGACTATAAATGAAAATGTTAATATAAATATTCCTGCCAATATAAATAATCCTGTTATGGGTAACCAAACTTTAAAGGGACGATGTTTATCGGGCCTTTTATGTCGTAGTACCTAGTGATTTTTTCAAAGGTTACATATTTTTTTTTTAAAAAAGAAAAATCAAAAAAAAAAAAATGAATTCTTTATATACCAGTAATCCTACACCAGTAGCCAAATAAAAAATCCAAAAACTATACATTGCAAACTTTGAAAATAATTGAAAACTCGTAATTTTAAAGCTACTACCAACAAATAATATAATTAGTGAACACCAAATAAATTGCGCTAGAAGTGCATTAACTGGTGTATTATAATCTTCATGCCATGTCTTTAATTGATCCGAATATACTGGAAAGAAGTTTGATCTTGCTGCTGCAACAATAACTCTTGATCCACTAAATTTATTTTTAGAAATTTATTAGAGATTTATTTTGACTTTTAATATATGAAAGATATGATGATTTACCTCCATACTGTAGACGCAGCAGTTCCAATTACAGAGAGTACAATAAGTAAAGTGAAAATTCTAACAACTATTTCGCTTTTAAATAATTGAGAAAAGAATGATGCTGCTATAGTTTCATTTGTCGTTTCAGTATCCACGTCTACTTTTGGTACAACAGTGATAAATGCAACATTTACGAGAAGATCTGTAAAAAAAAACAAAAACAAAAAAAAATGCGATCAAAATTGGGAATTGGAACAAAATTCAATATAATAAAGTTCACATTTACACATTATAGAGACGATTCCAACGCTGATGCTATTACTGAAAATCAATTTCTTTTCCGGATTTTTAAATTCATCTAATGAATCTACACAAACAATTAAATTTATAAACGTTAATATATCATATAACTATAAGAAAAATGCTAAAAGTCACAAGACTTACAATTCAAGTTATTCCAGCCATTATAGGCGAACATAATCTTAAAATAAGAAAGGTTAAAAATATAAACGATTTTTTTTAAAAAAAAAAAAACTTTAAATTCTCTTCAAGTATTTACCAACAAAACCGAACTGGAGTATGCTGCGATATCTGTATCTCCCTCTAATGGTACTTGCCAGTTACTAAGACTTTTTTCCCGATCTAAAAATAATCTACTAATGCCAACTATGGCGATAGTCAAATATGTAGAAAACTTGATAATTGCCAATGTTTGATTTATATAACTTGCCCATTTGTTACTTAACATATGATACACAGTTATAATGAACAAAATTATAATTGCAATTAATTTTATAGACCTGAAAAAAATAAAAATCTTAAATTAGATATTTTAATTTAATTAGATAGGTTTTCTAATTAATCGCCATGAATTTTTTTTTCTAAAGAAAATAAATTATTATACCAAAATGGAGCAAAACCTAGCTCCCATCCATTTTTATCTCCGACTTTTTCCAAAGAACTTCCGGTAATAGTATACCAAAAATATTGCGCAGCAGATTGTAAAACAGCACTTATAATTCCTGGACGAATTGCACTAAAAATATATATATATATTTTTTTTAATTACTTTAAAAATCATTTCTGACAAATTTTTTAAAATCAGGATGTATTGACGTTAACATTTACAAAATAAACATAAAGCTGAAAAGATAGCTCATCATAAGTTTCGGTTTTGGATAAGCTGTTTGCAAATATTTTGTTTCTCCTCCACTTATTTTATGCATAGCTCCAAGTTCAACGTAAGATAACGATCCTGCCATACTAACAAGTCCACCGATAAACCATAAAATTAATACAATCACTGGAGATTTTACTGATTTCCAAATAATTCCTGGTGTAGTAACTATTCCTGATCCTAATACATTATTTACATTCATACCAATACCATAAAATACACCTAATAATGAATCATTGTGTGATATATAATGTTCAAAACTATCAGAATATGTTCGTATTAGTTCATCATTTCCTTGAATATCGTTATGTTGCGAGGATATTGTATTGTTACCACGAGACATTTTTAGTTTCTTAAAAATTGTTTTTGATTAACTTTATATAGTATTTTTATATCCTACATGACATTTTATAGATTATAGATTATCAATCAAAAAAGGGAATTTAAAAATAAAAATAATAAAAATAATAAAAATAAAAATAAATATTATTCAACCCATGCTGCGGATCACAGACCAATCAGCATATAAAATCAATCCGTGCTGTGTTTCGTTTCGTTTCCCATATCAATTAAAATTCTCACCCCCGTATGTATTATCATAATGATGATTTGATTTATGATTTCTATTAATATGACTATTATTAAAAACATTAACGACGACTAATGAATATCTAGATTATTGTTTATCGAGAAATTGCATATAACACAAACATCTTAATTTACAAAGACAGTTCATTTCGTAAACGATGCCCAGGTCAAGGTATTTAACTTTTTTTTTTTTTTTTAAAAAAAAAAAATTTATTTTCAATTATTTAAGTAAATTTTGTGCAAAGAATATGCTTATCGGACGGATAAAGTGACAGTTGTCGAATTCTTTGCTAAAAAATAGAAACTGTCTTAATGCACAATAAAGTCCACTCGGAGAGATTAAAATCAAGCATGGGAAGAACAATTAGAACACCCAACAAGTTCTGATGTGTGATTTAATGTGAATGGTTATATGCATCTAGCGTAATTCTTTCAAATCGATCGGATTATTTTAGAACATGTTCCAGGAAATCGGAGCGAAAAATCAAATATTGATAATAACAACAACAAAACACTTTATAATCCGTCAAGAAGGAACGATTGAAGAAGTAACGCCCGAAAATATATTATTTGGACAAGTTGATAAACCCGTTATACAACTACCTTCACCCGTAGAACAGCGACCAACTAAGTATAATATTAACGTATCCATGAAATATGTTAAATTTTTTTATATGCAGATCAACTACCATTTACAAGTAATAATAAATATTTGATTTCTGACTTGCGTCGAAAATCAATGAAAACGATCTGGGAATCTTTAACAGACGAAAAAGTTATTAAAGTTTTTTTCACTTCAGGAATAAACTAGCCTGATTTAAAAGAATGCGTTTTAGAATGTGTAGTAACTAGGAATTAATTTTATTAGAAAAATTAATGTTTTCGAAAAATCAAGTCAAGTCAAATGAATGATCCTGGCGCTGACGAAATACTCAAATTAGTTCCAGATCCATTTGAAAATTAGTAGGGATTAATGTATTTTTAAAAGATATTTTTATTAAATAAAATTTTCAAATGAAAATTGATCTATAATAAAAGTTCGTTAAATATATGCATAAATCAATTTTTTGATTATAAAAATTATAAAATAAAAAAATAAATTCATTTAATTTTATCAAACTATAAAATTACGAGGTAAAAAAAAAAAAAAAAAGTAGAATACAGAATATATATATAATTTGAACGATCAAATTGTTATGATTTAACTATATACATACATGCAATTTAACTAAGATCAAATTTTAACTAAAAAATTTTTTTCTATTTAAACCATTATGCTTTGGACTTTCTCCCCATATTTCACTTAGATGGCTCCTCTAGTAACTTTAAATACTTCAATCTCATCAAAAGTAAAAGTATTTTGTTCGATAATTTTTTTTTCATAAAATTTTTTATTACAAACGCCTATTTTAGGATGACTATTGCCAGATAAGCTAATACCTAAATCATTTTCACCAAACCCAGGTCCATAAATAGTTCTACAAATAGCTTTATGCGAATATTCTTTTAATACTCTACTCAATATGGCATCATCTTCAGGATTATCTCCTTCACCAAATGAAAATATAAAAGCTTCCGAGCTACCTGAAAATACCTCCATTGGGTAACTTGATTCTGTATTTATTGGGTAATATCCTCCTAAAATGATTCGGGAATGACTCATTGTAGTTACAACTACTGTTGCTCCTTGTCCAGAACATTTATTATTATAAGATTTTATATCAAATCCATCTCTACTACCACGATAAATTAATTTAAAATGATAAGTAAATGTTGATGAAGAAAGTATTGTCGATGAATGTGACGTTCTATTCGATGACGAATGAATTTTTGCATCAACATGTGTTGAACTTGAAGGTATTTGTATTTTATCGTTACTATTTCCTTTCTTGACTGTTGTAGTCGTTGAAGGAGTCGAAGAATCGGGATGGTAAACAGGTCTCCTTCCTTTACGTAAAGTCCACAATTTTCTCAATGAAGAAGGTTGTTTCCATGAAAGTTTCGTTGATCCTTTTTCTTCATTACGTGAATTTGAATTCTTTGTCGCTTCAGTCGACGATGCTATCGTCGCGTTGGAAGAAGAATTTTCTTGTTCTTCGTTTAAACTTGAATTTTCATCAGTACTTATAGCATGATATCCATTATTGTTCGTCGAAGAAGAATCAGGTATATAAATTTCTTTCTCTCTTCCAATGTCAATCCACCTTCCAATCATAGCAACATGAGTATGATTGACAATTTTTGAATCATTCAATATAACATGTGGACGTAAAACATCAAGCTTTGGATTTCCTCCCTCATCCAAACAATAAAGATAATATTGTAATGCCGCATTGGTTGTTGTATCTGCTGGTAAAATACGTTTATAAGGTAAAACATAATCATAATAATCATTACGTGAAATTAATGAAAATCTTATAAAATGTACAAAATGATCCATCCTACTCTTAAGTAATTCAAATGTTTCATCCGTCCATTCCATCACGTTACTTGAATTTAATATTGGCTTTTTTGATGAACTCGCCCATAAAATCAATAAATTCCACATAATTCCATCATGAACATAGTTTTCTTCCTCAGATAATAAACTTTGAAAAATTGATTCTTCTAACGTACCAAAGTTAGAACTATCCTGAAACCATGTTGTCGTATTAATAATATCTACACAATTTGGTCGAAATCTTTCCAATGTTTCATTTTGATATACTAATCTCACAATTGTCATAAAATTCTTCTTTAACATTTCTGATTTCTTTTCAAATAATTCTCGAACTTGTCTCTCTAAATCATCCAACATAAATTCATCTGCTGCTAACCATACTCCAAGAAAATCTTCTCCTTCTAATATTTTCCAATCAACTGTCCCTTTATAAATATAACTAAAAAAAAAAAAAAATTGAGTGATAAATTGTCCAAATATTTTCTTACAACGAATAAATATTTTTTTTTTTTTTTTTTTTTAAAAAAAAAAAAAATATTATTAACTTACCTCAAGATAACTCCAAAAACCTTTGGCTTAATGTTTGGTTTCTCAAATATAAATACATCATCCTCTTTTCTTGCCCAATTGCTCGATAATGCTGTACGAAAATAACTACATTTATTACTTAATAATTTTGAATTTGCTCGAAACTTTTTTAAATCAGGTTGTTCTCCTACTCGAATTAAAACATCATCATGTTCAGTTTCAATGGTATCTTTATTATTAGGATTCGATGTCGACGTCTTCACTGTTGTTTTTGTATTCGAGGAAAACGGAGTAGTTGTTGGAATTAACGTAGCCGATAAATCATTTAATGAACTTTCCTGTTGTTTTTCTACTATACTTATAGATTCTTCTTTTACTACATTCATTTGATTTGTTAGTGTTGATATCGTTGTTGATGTTTACTACAGGATTTGAATATTATTTGATATCATTAGTATGGAACTCATCAAAAGCTAAAAAAAAAATTTATAAAATATAAAAAATATTATAATTGAAAACGAAAGAGATAAAATAGAGAGAATGATCAAGAAGAAACAAACATTATAATGAGCAAGAACGTTTTATTTTGAAAAAAAAAAAAAAAATTTGAAAATTAATTTATTTATGATGTTTGTGCAACCTTCCAGAGTTGGATTTATTTAGTTGTCCCCGATCGTAGTTTGTTTCACAACTATATTTTGGCTATCGACCATGAATTTTTGAGATGAATTTGTTTTACATGTAATGAAAAATGATGTACGACAAATACACAGCGTTTCATAATGAACATCCAAAGTTGGAAATAAAACAACGATATCGATATATAAAAAAAAACTTTTTAGAAGGATAAATCCATTATGTAATCTTTTAGCATTATTTTATCTTTAAAATAGTATTTATTAATAGCTATATAGAAAAATCTTTTTTTATGTTTTAATAATAGAGTTATATACATTGGTAATATAAGATATTAAATTTATGATAAATCCTTACTAATCTACATTTGATTACTTTTTATTTTGTTTTTTTTAATTTTTTTTATATATAGTTATTTGTTAAAATAAATTTCCTATTAAAAGAACAAATAATAAATAAAAAAAAGACAGTAGTTTACTAAAATTATTTGTAATATTAAAAAGAATAAAAAAGAACAGTAGTATACTAAAAGTTATTTGTAATTAGATATGCAAAATAGGGTAAAAATAAATATTTAACTGTTAGAATATTTCAAACAGAATTAAACAATTCTAAAATTAAATAAATTAAAAAACCAATTTAAAAATGCAGTATAATATAAGTGATTAACTATTAAAACCATATTAAATCATGATTTCTATGTTTTATAATTTGATTTTAATAATAATAATCAATATATTTAGAAATTATAAAGTAAAAAAAAAAAAATACTTTTTTATAAATAACTTATCTGCATAAAGTTGTAAAATTTATTGTATAAAATATATTAATTAGGCTAACAGAAACTGTTATGTGACCAAAGTTAAGAAACTTTAAAATATAATTATTAATACAATAAGAAAGAAAAGGTCTAATTGACAAAATCACGTGCTAGACACATAGATATATTAATTAAATTGAGTATAATACAGCTATTACGTGATTGATAAAATCATGTGTTAAATAAACAGATATGTTGATTAAAATAAGTTTATTTCAATGATCACGTGATTAACAAAATTATATGTTAAATATGTTAAACATGTAAACAAACAGATATGTTGATCAAAATAAGTCTAATACAATGATTTTATAATTAATAAAATTATATGCTAAATAAACAGATATATTGATTAAAATTAAATCTAATACAGTGATTACATAATTAATAAAATCATATGTTAAACAGACAAACATGTCAATTTTATTAACTTATACTAAAAAATCTTTTATTTATTATGCTTTGAATAATTAGTAAAAACTCTACATAAGTCAGTTTAAATACTATAACTTAATTAAACTAAGTATATTTTATTTTAGCTTAATTAATTTAATTTCAATAATAGAAAGATTATTAATAAATCAAATTATAAGATATATAATTTATAATATAATAACATTTTAATAAAATAAACTAAATTAAATATCAAATTTTAAACTAACTTCAATCCTTTATATAATTATTTTCATATATAGTTATTTTTATTTTTATTAAGAAAAATTTAATAATAAATTATTAAATAATATAATCTATAATCTATTATATAACTTTTATATAATCTTACTAATATTTTTAATCTTAAAAATATTACTAAAAATGGTTTTATAATTATTTTTAAATTTTAATTAAGTTGCAATTTAATTATATTAAATAAATTTAATTACATCATAAGTTGTAACTCAATTATATCATTTTTTTTTAATTTTAATTCTTATATTTAAATATAACTATATAAAAGATTAACTGTAATTCAAATAAATAATAAATTTAAAATTAATTTTTTTAAAATAAATAGTATTAAGTATTTTAATTAATAAATGCTTTAAAAGTATATTTTTAAAGAGTTTTTATAATATGTTTCTTTGATTTAAATATTTTTGATTTAATTTATATATTACTATAGTATTCTTATTAAAAAATTATTTTAAAATAATTGTTTTTTAATTAAAATATTTTGTATTATTTATATAATAAATTATTTATATAATAAATTATTTATATAATAAATTATTTATATAATAAATTTTAATATAATAAATTTTATAATAAAATGAATTTTTGATGTAATACAGATTTTTCTATATTAAAAAAATCTTGTTATACTGAATTTACTAGTATAATAAATTTTATAATAAAAATTAGTTCTATAAAAAAGAATAAAAAGAATATTAGTAAACATTCTCAAAGAAGCCTACCTATTCCAAAAAGAAGAAATTTTACTTACTGATTAGTTTTTAAGTCTAAAGAAGTTCAATTCTATAATAAAAAATATTAATAAATGTTTTCAGAAAAACCTACCTATCCTAAAAAGAAGAAATTTATTTACTGATTAGTTTTTAAATCTAAAAAGATCAAATTTTAAAAAAAAAAAGTAAAAAATGTTAATAAATATTCTTAAAGAAAACTGCTTATTTTAAGAAGAAGAAATTTAACTTACCAGTTGATTTTTAAGATCAAAGAAGGCTAGTTCTAAAAAAAAAAAAAATAATAAAGCAACTAATAAGAATAATTTTTTTAAAACTCATATCAGAATATTTTATAAATAAAATACTAAAAATAAAAAAAATAACAATAATAAAAAATATATATATAATAAAAGTAAAAAAAGTAAAAAAAAATAAAATTATATTTGAAAAAAAAATTAAATTAAAACTTAATCAGCATTTCAAGAAAAGTAAATTTGTAAAATTAAAAAAAAAAGTAAAATTTAAAATAAAAAATTAAAAAAAAAAAAATAAATTAATTAATTAAAAATAAAAATAAAAAAACTAAACTAAACTAAAGCAAAAAAAAACTAGAAAGTGAGAAGGAGAAGGAGAAGAAATATTAAAAAAAAAATAAAAAAGAAACTTATTATCTGGATTATTCTGATTATTCTGATTGGTCTAATAGAATAATATTTTATTATAATAAATTCTTTATTATATATATTGAATAATTCATTATAGTAATAACAAATTTTTTTATAATGAAGGTCTAATTAATCCAAATATTAAATTCATTATATTATTAATATGTAATCTTTTTAAATTATAACTATTAAACGTAGTAGCAAAGGGTTGACTTTTTTATAGTTTATATATAATTCTAATTAGTTTCATGTTAATCTTAGTTATTTTATTACTAACTTTATCAAATAATATTATTTACTAAACGCAAATATCTTCAATCATAAATTAAAGCTTTATAATAGTCATAAAGAGTTTTATAATAGAAAATAAAAAATACTTTATTAAATAAAAAGAAAGTAATAAGATAATAAGATATAATAAATATAAGAAAATAAAATAATAAAAGAAGTATATAAAGTTAAAAAGTAGTATTATGCTATCTTTTATAAAAGAGATTTTTATATAACTATCAGTCTTTCTTTTCTAAATTACAAAGAACTTGTATTATATTTATTTTATTATATATTTTTATATATTAAATATATTAACTATATTAATTATATTAACTATATTAACTATATTAAACATATTAATTATATTAAATATGTTAAAAATATTTAATATATTTAACATCTTTGATATTCTGTATTTTTCACACCTTTATAAATTTATAATCATTAAGATTAATACTTAGTCATAATATTAAGTTTAACTATATAATAAATATTACTTTTTAAAGTTATTTTTCTTCAAATAAATATTTAAATAATATTTTTTAAAAACAATCTTTAAAAAATTTAATATATTTTTTTAAAAAATAATTTTTAAATTTAAAATAATAAATTAAATAATATTATAATTTAAATTATATATAAATTAATTTAATTATCTAATAAATTATTATTTGATATATACAGTTAATTCTTTCTATAGTAAATTTTGATATTACAAATTTTACAATATAATAAATTTTTAGTGTCAAACAGATTTTTAAATATAAAAAAAATCTTACTATACTGAATTTGTTAATTAAAAATTTATACTATATTTAACAAATTAAATTAACATGATATAAGAGTTTGTTCTAATTCAGATTTTTTTAAATAAAAAAAAAAATATTAAATAATATGATTATATTATTATAATAAATTTTTTTTTAATATAATAAAATTTTGCTTAAAATAAATTTACTAGATTTATGTATATAAAATTTTATAGTTATCTATACCTAGTTTTCTTAATAAAATTAATAATGAATAAATATTTGTATTATATATTATATCTTATGTTTCATAATTTTTTTTATATATTTTATTTTTATATAATATTAAAAGTATATTCAAAGAAATAACTTAATAATCTACTAATAAATACAATAAATTTTTACAGTTATACAAAAAAAAGAACTTAAAAACAAAAAGACTTGACTAATAAATTTAATATTAGTGAAAGACATAGAAGATGACATTTTAAAGAAGAAAGATCATTAGCTTTTTGTAGATACTAATTCATATTAAGCTAATTTAAAATATGATAAAAAACTTCATTCTCTCTTATTGAAAAAGCATTAGCATTTAGATCGATAATGTACTCAAAGCTGGTTTCATTATTATTGATAAATTTCTTTCAATTAAAGCTTTGAGTTTTACTTTTTTATTAAAAGAGGATAAGTTTAAAGAGTTTAGTAGTTAAATAAATAATTTAAAAATAACATAATCTTAAATAGTACTATATATACAGGAAGTCATAAATGTATCAATCAAAGATTTCAAAATAATGAGAGAGAATTTCTGACAAATTTTAAAAGATTATAGTCCTA